TTTTTGTGATGAATCTTTTTTTTTTTTAAGATTATGTTTTGATCGAAAGATTTTTCAAATACCAATTCACCCCCTCTTGGTTAGCCTTGGGACTAGTTCATAAGGGCTTAACATCCTTAACAAACTTTCTTGTGCCATCAGAGCACTTTCAATCGACCCAACCTGATAGAAGGTACCTTATCGGCATCCTTGGGTTGCTTCATCCAAGAATACCTTATAGACATAGGTTGATATTTTTCTAAGGGGATATATTTTAATCCGTCTTAGCTAACAGAGGGAATTTATGCCCATCATATATACCCTATGATTCATAACTTAAAGGTTTGAAGCCTTTAGGGAATATACAGACTTTGGCAGTGATCATAATATAATGGTGCCATTTTGTGACAAAATCACCTGATTAGAGGGCACATGCCACGTCCCTATTGGCAAGAGATTATTTGAGGATGAATCAAAGTGATACACCCAATATACATTCACTCTTTATGAGCTGAAGTTAATTTCAAATTTATCACCCCCTATAAATGGTTTCTAGAGCTGGATGACTTTTAGTTTTATGTTTTCAGTTGATAGATTTTATTTTAAGAATTTATTTTTTTGTTTGATTATAGATTTGACCCATCCGGTTGAGATTTTCTATCAATACGGCCATCATCAGGGTGGCATATGGGTATTTATATTTGTGTATTGAACCTTGTCGATTTTGTTAACTTGCCAACATAAGATCAAGTTCATACATGACTTTACTTATTGATCATCGCAGCATCTCTAGATATTGTGTGTGTTTTCATAACACACTCGTCGGGGCCCTTACGGGTATTTAAGGGGGCATTTTGTAATTTAAATCATATCAATTTAAGTCCTTTTGAGGAGGATGAAACTTTAATATTTAGCCCATGTAGCATTCTTGAATCATTGGATTTAGGATTCAGATATGATGATCAGAGCACATGCGGGTGTAGCACTTGACCCTATGCAGCATTCTCGGATATTGGTGTTTATATTTTAACACGTTGACCGAAGCACATGCACTGGTATAGCTCTTTAGTTTAAGAGATCATATTTAATACATAAGAGGGGAATTTTAAAATATTTAAATATGATTTATTTGCACAAGTGATTTGTTTAGAAAATGTCCAAGATTTCATTTAAAGGGCTTACGAATATCTTCTGTTCGCTTGTACACATGTTGCGGATCAGGTGGCGTTAAAGCTTTTTTTAGTTTTAGTTCTTACATGTGTAAAAGAGGTATGATTTAGTCCACTTTAGCTCTTTAGATAGTCATTTAACATAGCTCGTATAGGGTATTTGTTCAATAGTTACTAGGAGATGTGCTCATATTTGTAGGAGAAATATTTTTTTTTATAAGTTCTCCTATTATCTTTTGTAGGTAGACTGATTTGTTTTATACAAGATACTTATCCTTGTTTTTAAGCTAGTTGTTATGGAATTTGCTACTTGTTGGAGAGCATTTTGAGTTGTCTGGTAGTTTGGAGAGCTGCTCTATTAGAGAGTAGTTGTGGAGAGCTCGTGTGAGTATGAGTTGCTTGTTAGAGAGAGTTTTATTATTTGGAAAGTTTTGGTGAGTCGTCAATTAATTAATTATTTCTACATAGGATGGATATTGGAGAAACATTTCATTCTTGCATTTATTTTATTTTAATTGCATTAATTAATTAAGTTGATTACAAATTTTAATGGAAATTAACTTAATCATTTAATCATCCTTATTCATTAGTTAAATCATGATCAGTTTAATCAATTTCAAATGAAATTTATGGTTTCCAAAATCTACATAAGTCCAAAGTTTTCAAGTAAATTTCGGTAGCCTCCAAACGTCCCCTCCCCGACACTGAGAGGTAAGGAGGGAATTTGTCCTTTTAAGTCAGCATGATCGAAGTGAATCGACTGTCGAGGGCTTCGGGGCATTGTCAAACCCTAGAATTTATGTTTTGAAGCTCCAATAGATGATCGTTGGTTGCCAATATTTATTGCTGATTGCTGCTTGTGATGCATTTGATTGAAAATCCCTTTTTGTCATTTAATTTATCAATTAATTGATATTGCAATTATTTTCAAATTGAATGGTCCTTTGGGCATTTTTCAATTTTCTCAAAAAATTTTCTAATTCTAGAATTTTTGAGAAAATTTGGGCAGCCTTCCGACGTCCCCTCGCCGACGCTGAGAGATATAAGAAGGGCATTTGCCCTTTCAAGTCTGCCCGGTTGGAGTGAATCGAAAGCTAGGGTCTTCGAGATGTCGTCGGGACCCGTAATTGATCTTTGGAAGCTCCAATTGACGATGATTGGTTGCAAATAATTGGATGCCGGTTGCTTGTCAAAAATTTGGCTAAGTCCTAAAATTTTGAGGAAATTTCGGCAGCGTACCGTCGTACCCTCCCCAGTGCCGGGAGGTAAGGAGTGGCTAGACTCGACTATGGCAAATCAACGGCAAGGAGATTGGGTCTTCAAAAGCTCCACTTGATGATGATTATTGATTGCTGGTTGTGAGAGATTTATTGCAATTCCCTGTTTGAAAATTGCCTCTTTTTTCTCCATCTCTATCTCTCTCTTTTCTTTTCTTTGTTATTTCATTATAATAATAATATATATTTATTATAATATTATATTATGAAGAGAAGGTCAGCTTCGGCGTTGGGTGCAGGCGTGGATGGAGTCGGCTAGGCAAGGGTGGAGCGGAAGAAAAAAAGACGTCTGAGAGATGGAGAGCTAAGTTCCCTTTCCAAATTTTTTTTGATCCTCTATGTGCGTGTGTCTGAATTGGTAGAGGGGTCTTTTTTGTGTCATGAGAGAGTAGTTTGAACAATCGTGGGTGATCGTGGGTTGACAGTTGTGTCCGAGCCATGGGGTTTGTCGGCTGGGTGTGGGTATCCGACAGTTACATTTCAACATTGGTTAGTCTTATCCACTATGTGTATGAAAAGGGGGTTCGATTGTTGTCACTAATGAAAATAATGAATTGAGTCCCCCTAGGATAGTAACTAGTTGGAAGATATGTATTGAGTTAAATATGACTATTAGGAAAGATCATTTCACTTTTCAATTTATTGACTAGATGTTAGATAACTTGGAAGGGAACTTTTTTATTATGTCCTTGATAGTCATTTAAGATACCACCAAATTCCTATCACACCTTAGGCCCATGATAAGTTGTACCTTTGCCTTTGGAAGGATGCTTTTTAGTTTTTCCAATGCCCTTACTACTTTATAGATATTTAAGATGTCAATCTTTTTAGATTTAGTTGAGCAGAACATTGAGAGATTCATGTGAAACTAATGTTATATTTTATATATTAAATTGCTAGTAAAACCATGTTATTTTAGTTGTGTTATGTAGAAAAAATATAGGAAAGGCATGAAATTTAAAGTATTATACAGCACCATGCATTGAACCCTATACCACCGAGACACCATCATTGACATCGTTGAAGCACCCAATATGGACATGGTGGTGACCAGTCTCTATTTGATAGCACTATGATGTTGGAGGAGTGAGGGTTATAAAGCCCAGTCTCCATCTACACTTCACCGTGACACCAATTTCTAGCTCTACGAAGCTAAGGGGTGTGCCACATGGATGCTACAGTGCTTAACCGTTAGCAATGCTACAATTGTAATCGACCAGGATACAATCTGCTAGTGAATTGATGCATCAATTCATTAAACAACAATCCATATCAGTGAGTGCCATAGAGGAGGAAATTTTTCAGCGCTACATTGTTAGTTCATTTCATAGGCGCCGTGGTGCAAGTGTATAAAGCGCAGCAATGCCAGAATCCATTTTTTTTGTGTTTTTTTATATATAGTTCATTTGTAATATTAGTAAGAGAGTTCAGTCACTTAATTAATTTTTAGTATTCATAGTCCTTCTCTATAATTTTCTTATAAGTGACAACTAAGGGAATTCAGGAAGTACTAGATCCACTTCATAAGAGTGTTTGGTTAATATTTGTAGAAGAAATTTTATAAGTTTAAAGAGGAGTATAAAGGAGATCATTAAACCATCCAGCGATATCTTTTTTTTCTTTACTTTTTTGTGCAATTAATAAAAATGAGTTTCTTTTACTTGTTCTTCATGTCTAGCTAAATTCTTTAGTTATGAATTGATGATGCAAATAAAATATGGTGTATTAATGAATTTTCTTTTTTAATAATTTAATGATATTTTCATTGTACCAGGTCTTCTTTAATGTACATAGTGGTCATAGGTGTAATTAATATCAAGTTTAATATAGAGCCTAGAAATATAAAAGTAAACTCAACCATGTATATTGGATTGATATGATGCAAGCATAAGCATAGTGCTTGACATATATCAAATTTATATAGATGAATTATAATGAAGTGGTTTTAACAGTATATTACTTACTCTTCTAATATTTTCATAGGGTGACAGATAATGGGAGTTTAGAGTGGTATTAAGGTTGGAATGTTAATTAGTCCTTTATCTCTTCATACTCAATTGAGTGGTCAGTAATGAATATGCTCTGAATAACAACAACATAAATGAGAATCATTATGAAACATATTGTATTTATATTCCATCAATCAAAAATATTTTATCGAAATAATATTTTATCGAAAATGGTTGACCCTATTCAAGACTTAGATCATTCTAGACCTCTTAAGAATTTTGTAAACCCTATGGTAGACGGAATTCATCAGAGCATAAATAGACATGCCATCCAAGCTAATAACTTTAAATTAAAACCTAAAATCATTCAGATTGTACAAAATTCTCAATTTGGTGGAGCTCTCATTGAAGATCCTAACTTATATTTAGCAAATTTTTAATAAATTTATATAACATTTAAGTATAATGGTGTTAACGATGATTACATTAGAATTGGATTGTTCCCATTTTCTCTAAGAGAAAAGTAAAAAATATGGTTAAATTCTTTACCCCTAGGCTCTATTACCACATGGAATGAGTTGGACCACAAATTTCTAAAAATGCATTTCTCACCTTTTAAAACTGTTAAACTTAGAAATGATATTATTTCTTTTACTTAGTTTGAAGGAGAATTTATTTATGAGAGTTCAGAGAGATTTAAGGATATGCTTAGAAAGTGTCCTCACCATGCCTTATTTAATTTGTTGATAATTCAAACAATTTATAATGGATACATAGGATCCCTTAGAGTCATAATTGATGATGTAGCTAGAGGTTCTTTGATGTCAAAGCCTTTTTGGGATGCTTATGAATTAATTAAGAAAATGATTAAAAATAATTTTTAGTGTCCTGTTAATAAGGTGAATCCTCAAAGAGTGGTAGGAGTCTTAGAAAATGTTTCTTTATCCAATTTGACTACACAAGTTGTAGCAATATAAAAAAGTTGAGCACTTTAAGCTTAGATTCTTATTCATCTTTACATTTGGAAGATAAAAGATCAATGGAAGAGAATGACATCCACCAAAGGATTGAAAATATAAATTTAATTGGAAGTCAAAATATTTCTTATTTTAGTTGGAGGAATCAACTCAATTTTAGTTGGTCAAATAATAATGGTGAAAATTAATGGAATTCTAGTCAAAATAACTAAGGACCAAATTGAAATAATCAAAATTAAGCTAATAATAATCCAGGACTAGCTTTTCCTCCTGGATTTAATATGGTAATTAGTATAGATTTAGAAAAACATAACTAGAAGATGTGGTCATGTAATTGGGAACTCAATTACAAAATTAAGCTGCTTCAATTAAAATCTTGGAAACTCAATTAAGTTAGCTTATAATTTCTGTGAGTATTAGGCCCATAGGATTCTTACCTGGTAACACTAAAATTAATATTGAGGAGAAGGAAAAAGATATCAGTGGGACCCAATTAAAGAGTAAGAATCATCCACCTTAGCCAAATAGAAAATTTGGGCAAGTCTGGTTAAAGACTATAAACTTAGCACTTCTTGAGAGGCAACCCAACCTTAGCTCTAGTCAGTTATCCTGTTTGGTTGAACACTTAAAATTTAGCTCTTCTGAGAGGCAACCTATTTATGTGTTATGCTAGTACCCATTATGTTAAAAATGTTATATCATATTTTGTTTTTAACATATATTTTATGTGCCTTTTATCATTCTTATGGAAGCATGTGTTTGTAGAATTTATTTATATGTTTTATTTATATGTTAGCAAATTTCCTTCTAGCTTAAATTATTATTATCCTCAAATTACTTTTATATTTTGATTATTTAATTAATCCTTATAAAAATGATAATAAAAATTATATAAAATTAGGAAAATAATAGAACCGTAGATTCTATTTTGAATGTACTTTATTTAAACTTCATATGTTAAAAAACTAATACTTAACATATTCAACCATTTGAGTTATTATCCTAATTTTTAATTTATAAGCTATAAATTAATGAAATTAAAATTTAAAATTATAAGATGAATAATTAGTATTATAAATTAGAAATGAGTGAATTAAAATTTGAAATTATAGCTAACCTGAAGATGAAATTAGTAATCTCATCAAGTTTTTACATTGAAATCATTAATGTTATATGAAGGCCTAAAGTAGAAGCTGATATTCAAAATTTTTAATTATGTACATTACAAAAGAAAAAAGAAAAAGAACTATAAAATAGTTCTAAGAAAAGAAAAAGAAAAAGAAAATAATCAAAAGAAAAAGATGAATACATTCAAAAATTGGTATCAGTGAAAGCTTAAGATTGGAAATATAATCTTATAAAAAAACTAAAAAAGATAAGATGGGAGAGCTAATATAATGGATGGCAAACTAGTGAAAGTACAATTTTAACTACCATCATATCTAATTAATTATTCACTTCAACAATTAAAAGTTAATGATTAAATAACTTATAATTTTAAATTGGATTGTAACTAAAATGATTGATTAATTTAACTTTTAGTATTTTCCAAAACAGAAGTATGGCCTTATTCATTTTCACTAATTATAGACAGTGATGTATTATTCTATATTTTAGTAATTTAATATTATCATTTTTTATTTGGGTTAATCACTTAACTAGAATTACAAAATTTTATTTGCTTGAGAATAAGTAAGAGTTTAAGTTGAAGAGGATTTGATGAGTATAAATAATGTTATAATTTCTATGTTAAATTGCCAGTGAAACATTACTATTTTAGTTGTGTTGTGCAGTAAAAATATAAGAAAGACATAAAATTGTAAGTGTCATACAGTATTGCGATGTCGGACACTATACCGCCATGGCACCATCATTAACACCACTGGAGTGCCCAATATGGACATGGTGATGCTAAGTTTCTATTTGTTAGTGTCATGACGCAAGAGTAGTTAGAGCTACAAAGCCCAATCTCTATCTGTATAGTGCTACGAAGCCAATTTCCAACGTTGCCAAGCTAAGGGGAGTGCCATGTGGACGCCACATCACTCAATTATGGGTAGCACTATTGTTGTAAATGATCAGGACATAATCTGCCAATGATGCAATGCGTCAATTCATTAAACAGTAGGTCCACATCAGGTAGTTTCACATAGGAGGAATTTTTTTATCATTGTAGGGTTAGTTCATTTTATGGTAACCGCAATGCAAGTGTCTAGAGCTTGGTGATAGTAGAATTCGTTTTTAGTGTTTTTCTATAAACAATATGTTTGTAATTTTAGTAAGAGAGTTTAGTCACTTAGTTAATTTCACTATTCATAGTGCTTCTCTACAATTTCCTTAGGAGTGACAACTAAGGGAATTTAGGGAGTATTAGATCCACTTCATAAGGGTTTTTGGTCAATGTTTGTGGAAGAAATTATGTAAGTTCAATAATTTACTGATATTTTTAATGTACCTAGTCCTTTTAATGCACATAATGACCATATATGTAGTTATTATTAGATGTAATGTGGAGCATAGGAATAGAAAAGCAGGCACAACCAGGTATATTGGATTGATATGAAGCAAGTATAGGCATCGTGCTTGAAATATTACAGATTTATAGAGATGAATTATAATGAGAGGTTTTTAATAGTACATGTTTTACTTTTTTAAGATTTTCATAAGGAGACATACTATGAAAGTTTAGAGGTGTATTGAGGTTGGAAGGTTTAATCTATCCTTAATATCTTCACGTACAACTAAGCGGTTAGTGATGCATATGCTCTGAATATTATCAATATAAAAGAGAATCATTAAGAAATATATTGTATTTACATTCCATCAATCCAAAATATTTTATCCAAATAATATTTCATTTAATTCGTTTTTATTTTAAATTATGTTATTGAATCTTTACCAAATTATATTTTTATTGAATAAGATAATTATTATAATTGTAGTAGATAATACTAGTATTTACAGGTAAAAAATCTTTCTTGTGGAATCGATACTCTACTCTATCACTATATTACTAGATTTCATATATATACTTGCGTATATTAAGTGGGTTTTTTTTATAATTTTTTATTAAAAAAATCTAAGCATTATTTAGGGATTGATAAAGACCTTACTTATTTTCAAAATTCTTTAAGTTACTCCACCTCCCCCATTAGATATTTATGAATGATTTTGTTTTATATTTGTCTCTACTTTTAATACTTGCATATAACACCCGACTATTATTTTAAAAAGATGTGAAACATATTTACTGCTAAATTAAAAAAAATACTAATTCGAGGTAAGATAAGGCATTATTTTAGAGCATAATATATTTGAGAGGGTGATGAAGATGGATAGAGCATAATTTTAAGCAATAAAGAACTTGCCACCACTTGGTTTTATTAAAGGTGTAAGGAGGTTTCTATGACATGGTTGTCTTTCTAGGAGATTAAAAAAGGACTTTCTAATATAACATAACCATTATATCATTTTATTAAAGTTAAATAGTTCTTTTGAATTTTATAAAGAATGTTTAGGGGCTTTTAAATTATTGAAACAAAAGTTAATAGCCACATCCATTATCATTGTACCAAATTGGTCTTTGTATTTTGAAATTAGGTGTGATGCTATTGATTTTGTTGGAGTTGTATTAGGGCACAAATTTGATAAAAATTTAATGCTATTTATTAATCTAGTAAGACTTTAACTGAATATCAAATTAACCAAAAATCAGTATTTTTTTAATAAACCTAATTTATTTAGGAGAGGTAATCATCAAAGGATTAGGCGCGTCCCATTAAAGGAGGCTAAGGTTTTTATTAGATAGTGTCAATGGAGGGAATTTTAAAGATTTTAGAACTGCTTATACAATCTTATAATTAGGATTATATTGGCCTATAATATTTAAGGATGTAAATGACTATGTCAAAACACAAAAAACTAGGCAGTATACTTAGAAGAAATGAAATGTCCTTAAATTATATGATAGAAGTGGAGATATGAGATGTTTTGGGGGGGGGGATATGATATGTTTGGGGGGGGGGGGGATATGATATGGGTCCTTTTATCCTATGATTATGTAATCAAGTTATTTTGATAACAATAGATTATGTATCCAAGTGGATGGAGGTAGTGGCTTTACCTATGAGTAATGTCCAAGTTGTTCTTAATTTTTTAATGAAAAATATTTTTCATAGATTTGGAACACCCATGGTATTTATTAGTGATGGAGAGAGCCACTTTTACAATAAAACATTAAGAAGTTAATTACCAAATTTGGGATAAAATTTAAAATAACTACTGATACATGGTGATGGTTCAAAAATTGATTGGAAAATAGAGAATATGTGTAGAATATACAAATTTGAACTCAGCAGGCCCTAGGGATGGCTACTAGCCTCTAAGCATCGACGCCTTCATCAACACAGTAGTGGGCCATCCCGTCATGAGTTTTTTGGAAGCCTTCTTAGGATACCACCATGTTAAGATCCATCCTGAAGATTGTGAGAAAATAATATTATCATAGTAGAAGGATTGTACTACAATAAAGTTATATCATTCAGACTAAAAAATTTGAGGGCACTTAGTAGAGGATGATGGATACAATCTTTAAATAACATAAAAGCTAAAATATCAAAGTATACGTAGATGACCTCCTAGTTAAAAGTTAATCTCCTGATTAGCACATTGAGGACCTGCAAGTGACATTCCACACCCAAAATCGGTAGAATATGTGGCTGAACCCTCTGATGTACACCTTCTAAGAAGGTAAAAG